TCCCTCTGTGCCCTTGTGATCTGGTTGTTCTTGATTCTCCCCTCATTTAGCCAAGCCCTCTGTATCCTGGTTCTGTGGTTGATTTTGCTTATTGGTGCTTCATATATGGTACAGATAGCCTTCGACTTACAACCACAATTGGGAATAGAGCTTCCATTACTAAGCAGGGCAGTTGTTAAATGAGTTGCATCTAATTTTGCTCTCCTTCTTGCCACGTCGTTAAGTGAATCACTGCAATCATGTCATTTTTTTTAGCGCAACGGTTCCCAACCTTTATAGCTGGGCGGGGGGGTAGGGGGAACCAGGCTGTGCAAGCACATGCGCCCACCTCAACTCAGGACAGCAGTGTTCCGATATCTCAGGGGCTGCCACAAAAAAGAGGGAGTCAAACTACCTGAGGGCAGGACAAGAAGCAATGGGTGGAAACTAATCAAGGAGAGAAGCAACATAGAACTAAAGAGAAATTTCCTAGCAGTTAGAACAATTAATCAGTGGAACAACTTGCCTCCAGATGTTGTGAATGCTCCAACATTGGAAGGTTTTAAGAAGATGTTGGATAACCATTTGTCTGAAATGTTGTAGGGTTTCCTGCCTAAGCAGGGGGTTGGACTAGAAGACCTCCAAGGTCTCTTCCATCTCTGTTATTCTATTCTATTCATGTGCACGGCGGGCCAGCATGCATGCACATATAGCTCGACTGGTTGAGCTTCATGCATATGTGCATGCGCGCTGGCCCACCACTTGTGTGTGTCGAGCTGCGCTCATGCGACCTGGTTGCAAATAGGCCATGGCCCAGAGTTTCAATACCCCTGATTTAGCAGCTCAATTGAAGAGATTCACCTTAATAGCCAAAATTCTATTTAGTGGATACCATACAGCAGGGGTGTCAAACTCAAGGCCCAGGGGGTGCTTAGATTTGGCCTGTGGGGCCTCCCTGGAAACAGCGACTGACTGCCCCACGGTGCCTCTGCCAGTGAAAATGGGGCTTGGCCCTCCTGAGCTCTATTTTAGCTGACAGAGGGTTGCAGGAGGCCATCTCAGCCGAAAAAGGAGATTGGGAGCCCATTTTTGCTGGTTGAGCGCTCAGGCCACCGGAGGCACCCCCGACACAAGTGACGTCGAGCTGGCCATGCCCACACTGGCCACCAGAGGTAGTATTCTGTTGGTTTGCCCCGGTTTGGGCAAACCAGCAGCAACGGCGGCAGGATGCTCTGACCCCCCCACCCCAGATGTCATCACGAATGCTCTGCGCATAAGCGCTGCCTACATGCTCCCGGTTCCAAACTAGTAGCAAAGGATAAGAGGAAACCATTTCTGCTGGCCACGCCCACCCCGGTCCCCCAAGGGCAAACACAACCCTGATGCAGCCCTCAATGGAATCAAGTTGGTACCCCTGATGTACAAAGTGCTTAGGTAAGACACTAAGTGGGATTTGAAGATATAATGCCATTGCCCGCTCTCAAAACGTCCAAAACTACTACAGTCTTAGGGTCAACATGCTTTTACACTGTCTGTATTTCTTATCCTTCTCATGGTAAGAGAACTTAAACGAATGAGCAGGAACCCATCCCTGTTTTGATTCTGTTCTTTTTATGGCAGCACATGTACAAACCTCTGTGCAACATTTCCCTTCTATATCTTATTCTTTTAAGAATTTGGCCGCATGCTGGTAACTCTCAGTTTTTGAGGATGAGGATGAGGATTCGTGTCTTCCAAGTTGCAGAGTGTCTGGGAGTTTCTCCCCCATTCTGCAGTGAGAATCAACAAGATTCCCATGCTGCTTTGTACACTTCAAAACTTTGAGGCCAAAAGTTTAATGTTTCAGAAAGGCCAGTCTACCTAGATGAATCATGAGTGACATTTAAGAAAAGCAGTAAGACTGCAGTGAAGATACCTCTGTTCTTCACAGCTTCCTCACTAGGAAACCTCTCTTCTATTCTCTGACAGTTTAGAGATTTGCAAAGATTCTTCTCTTGGGCCAAGATTTGACTTGTTAGACAATTTTACTCTTGACTTGATCATTTTAATCACAATGGTTTATTCTGTTTATACTTTTAACGCTTGGTTAGCTGCCTCGAGTGCTCACCGGAATAGCAAGGATGAACATAAATCAAATCAACAGATATTGATTTCAGATGTTGGTGCATTTCCACAAGAAGGAAAAAATTAGACCTTGTGTGTAAGCCATACCAACGTCACCTATATGTTAGTCAATATGCAGTCGTGGCCAAAATTGTGGAAACCTTTTTTTTTTGTGGTGGGGGGAGGTTAAATTATCTTTCCATTGATATATAATTTTATGGTACTACTCCCAAAAAAATGGTGTTATTAGTCATCAAACCTCAAAAATACACTTTTTTCCCCCCAAAAGGTTTTTGTCAGAATTTGTTGCATAAATTCAAATCCAGAAGCACACACAGATAACTGATGCAGCAGGATTCATTAACTTCTTTATATACATAAGAATAGATGAATAAATNCCAAATACTTTTTTGCCCCACTGTATCAGTCAATGTGACACTGTGTAAATGAAATGAGTAGCGAACAAAAACATTTTTAAGTACCCCAGGTAATTACTCCTAAAGTAGGGTTACTAGATGTTGTCCGAAGTTCAAATGACCATTAGAAGGTAGCAAAAAAATAAAAGCTTTTGTTATTGTTGCCCTTCAACAGTCCAGATATTTGCAGCCTGGATCTGATAGCTCTGTGCTAAGACTGTAACGTAGTCCATTTAATTTGCAACTTATCCTGGTTATCTGGAACATAAGAGAAACTATGAGAATCTCAAGCTTTCCCACGTATTTGATGTATATAATCTATGGTTAGTAGTGGAAGATCTCTTAGAACAGTGTACTAAATCTGTTGCTCATCCTTCAGGAAAGGGTTAGAGAACCCTCACCCTTTACTTATTGCTGGACCTCTACAATCTCTTACGATTATTCTTACTATTTGGAACTTGTGGGACTTCTCGTGTAGGTTTCTGATTGCTGCCTCAGAAGCTGTAGTTTGAAACAATTATAAGAAATATTTTCAGGCTGAGTCTGAATGAGATGAGAAAACTTGATAGAATTTTGGAGTTACATTCTGAGCATTCTGTGATTATTTTCTTTTTCCCTAAGATCCTAAATATAGTCCTTGGCATTCTAAAGCATTTTCTGCTTGGGAGTTTAAAAAGCAATAGTATTTCTGTTTCATCCCTTACCAAAATCCTTGGCTTTTGCACTTTGAGATTGAACGACTGCCATTTTAGTTTAAAAGAAAAAAAGAGAAGCAAAGCCATGCACATATGGGATAGCTTGAAACAGGAAAAAAAACCAGTTGAGTTAAGAAGGAACTTAATGTTTGCTTATTTTGTATCTTACGTCCAATGCCATGTAAACTTCATCTACTGTCCTGCTAATTGGACACCTTAAAGTGTCTTAAAGATTTACCATTGTAACCTGTCATTAATGAAAAGTAATAATGAATTGCTTCTAAAGTGAAAATCCACATGTGATTTTGGCACCTTGGAAGTAAATTTGAGACATAATCTTTTCGGATTATAGCATACTTTATAAGAGATGTGAGCTGCCAACCACTGTTTCCAGGTGCACAAATGTATTTCTGTATAATCCTGGAAAAGAAATTTAGATCTTAGTCCATTTGAAATTGTATTAATTAGCAGATACAGTTTCCCAAGTTTTCTATCTTATTTTAATATTTGTAACGTAGGCAATAAATCAGCTTTCTTCCAGTGAGCCTTCACTAAGATAAGCAAGTTGGTGGTAAATACCGACTCAACTATTTGGCATCAAATGATTGTTCAATCGTTAAGCAGTTAAGTTCCCATATTTGCCTTGAAATTGCTTCTTTATTTTCACTTGCGTTACTGTTTTTACAAAATGGATACTACATCTTTAAAGGCAGCAGAAATAATAAATTATCTAAAATTATCTTGAAATAACTACAGAATGGAAAAAAGTAACTCTGGATGGATGTCTTATTTTTTTGAAAGTATTAAGTGCAAGTGTAAGGCCTCCAATGCTGATAGAATGCAAACTATAGGGAAAGAGAGCAGTGGCACAATTTTTTTCCTGATTGTATGGATTCAGTTAAATTATTCCATAAATAATATTGCTTTTA